AAAATATTAAAATAAGAAGATTCCTAAATGAAATTAATATAAAATCATGAAACACAGTTATAGGAATTACCTTGTGAAGTATCATCAAATTTTTCTAAAAATAATTCTATCTTATGGAATTGGGGAAAAAATCTAATATGGAGAAAAATCTAATAGTAATTCTAAATCTTAACTATATTATGGTAAATATTAAGTTCTTAGATATAAGCTGATTAGAAACAGGAAGTCAGTCCAAGTTAATATTGAGGATGAAAATGTTGATTTTACCGTTGAGAAAACGAGTGCTTTTGCCCCTGGATCTCTAAGCTGTATTTTCATCAGAGTTCTGACTACAGCTTCCACTTTTGTAGAATGGCTGCCCTTTTAACAAAAAGGAAAAAAAAACAACACACACACACACATCACTACCAAATAAAATATAGTTAACAATGGAAAGGAAAAGCAATATAAAACACTTTTTATTATCAAAACTATATGTGCATCAAAACGAATTATCAGGTGCATATGTGTTTACTCTTTTTAATTTTGTGCTTGCTGGAAATTTTCTTTAGCCTCGAATTGTAGAAGTTATGAAATTTACACCCAGAGAGATGTGAATATAAAAGCACACCAGAAAGTGACAAAATGATATGATTCTGAAGATAAGATTTTTTAATTTAAGTAGCCAGATTTTACAGTTAAAAATTTTTGTTACATTAGCCTAGCAGAATTTATATGTTAAAACACTCTTCACTTACTTCAGATATTCTGGCATTAGAAATGTTAAGAATACAACGAATCAAAACTCCAATGTAAGCGAACAGTGAAGGATCCAACCAAACAAGAATACCTTTTTGCAATGGCATTACCCAGGACAAGGCTAAACACTTAAAAGAATGTTTCCATTTAGTCTGCAATTCCCTCAGAGTGAGTTTGAACATCATTTGCTGGTCATTTAGAGTTTTACCTCTGTGAGTGTGTATTCATATCCTTTGCTAATTTTAAAAAATTGGGATATCCTTTTTTACTGATTTGTAGGACCTCTTTATATACTGTAGATGTTAAACTTAGGTTGTAAATATTTTCCTACCTCTCTGTCCATAGTTCACATTTAATTATGTTAAATGCAATAATGTAAGAGTGCTATATTAATATATTACATAGTTACATTAATTCACAAATACTTGATGAATGATATATACCTGGATTTAATTACGTATTCTTTGACT